ATGCAATGTAAATTTATACAAAGATACAAGTTTAACCAACAGTAATATTTTAGTGATAATTCTACATTGGAAATGTGCGTTTTTGACGTATGTATGATAAAAATGGTTTGTATAAAATGTAAGTTAGTTTTAAATACCGTGAGGAATCGCACTAATGCTGAGAGTGATAATATCTGGAGTAAGATAATATAGATCTATATTATCTTACTCCTGGTAATACTAATACTAAGTCCAATAGACTGTATATAACTTAAGACGGGACACTCGCTGGGCTCCCAATATTCCAATTATGTCACACGTGCAACACTAGCACCGATCAATGGCGAGTTATTACCGCCATATATATATAACCCTATTCTAATAATAAATAATACTAATAGTATTTCTAATGGTAATTGTTATTATTGTCAGTGTCAGTAACTTGGGCTAACGCTCCATTAGGAGTGTTCCCCACTTTGTTATCATTAATGATTAATGACTAATGTAATGTACTAATACTATTACTAATGTAGTAATGATTAATGATTGATAACCCTAACCCTAACCTAAATGACATTAAACCACAAACTAATATATGACCATGACGTATGACCATATATGTTATTATGACCATTAATGACATTAAAGTTGGGAACACTCCTAATGCCGTAATGGAGTATCACCCGTAACTTGAGTAAGGCCAAGACTCGAGCATGTTTTGAATAACTTACTATATGAACCGCACAAATTATACTACATGACACAATATGGCGGTTGGAGAAACGACATCGTGGTGTTCTTACGTTTGTATGAGCTCCTGGATTCGGTCTAAGGTTATTTATACTAACACGTGGAGAATTTTTGACTATATTAAAGGCTTTTTCAAATATATTTCTGGAGGCTGCCATGTTTACCAAATGCTCTTGAGTTATGGCGCCCTCTATTCCAAAACCTACACAGGTATTTTAACACAGCCATTCTGTTAAAAAAAACCTATATATTTTATTTCCATTTCAGAATATAAGATGTATGCCACAGCATTTGAGCAACTGATATTTGATATTTTAGCTGCGGAAGTATGATACATGGAATTTGTGCATGGTCAGACCCATAGAAATAGATAGATAACCTATTACCTAACCTTAGGTTATCTATCTATTTCTATGGTCAGACCATTGGTCTATTTATACAACCAACCACCGTCAGATGGAGCTATGAGTATGACTCCTATGAGTATGAGTTCTATTATCATCAATGCCCAATATTCCATTTCAGCTGATGCTCAGTAACTTAAACTGTTTTGGGCAGTTTGCTTGCTGCTCCTCTATTCTAGTTGTATTAATTGGGACGTCATGTTTTCGCCTATGTTATGTGATTACCCTTCATAATTTTCTCAGCTTCATTTTATAGGGGTTTCAAAATGGAACGTGGTCGGCGGTACGTTCAAATCATGAAATATTGAACTCGTACTTGTAGTTGTAGCCAAAATTGAAAATGCTGCTCAGACAGTAGTACTACTAGTACTAGTACCAGGAGTAAGATAATATAAATATAGAATAGATTCTATATTATCTTACTCCTGCTAGTACTAGTACTAGTAGGGCTCATAGGGTCTATGTCCCCCAGGGTACTGCCGGAACGTACCCTGGTCACTATTTGATATGGTTAGGATTAGGGTTAAGGTTAGGGTTCGGGTTCGAGTTAGGGAGTTGGCGTAGGCGACTCCCTAGACTCGTTAGTGGAGTAGACGAGGTACGGTCCGGCATATTAGATAGTACCAGGGTACGTTCCGGTATACCGGACCGTACCCAGGGTACGTTCCGGCAGTACCCCGGGGGACATAGACCCTCTCAGCACTAGTAGGTAGTAGGCCTAAAATGCAGCTAATTTTGTGTGATAAATATACAAATATTTGAGGCGTGTCGAAATAATCTCGTGTTCTGTATACACAATTTTAGGCCTGCGCGGATGACTGAGTCACGAGCAGGAAGAGGAAAGCGACAGGACTTATCACTATCAGAGGAACAAAAGGTTCTTATCCGAGAAACGTTCGAACTCTTTGATTCGGACCATGATTCCCTAATCAACTACGATGAACTCAAGGTATTTTTACGCAGTCCTAGTAATTAGATGAGAAGAGAATTAGCATTCGTCATGGTGAGGTGATGCTTCTGTGTGTTCTGGTGCAATCATCAAATTATTTACTATTGGCGGGTGACATAAGAGGAAAAATGGAATCGTTTCAATTGAATGAAAATTGTGTGCGCAGAAGGCGTCAGCATCTAGCGGGGTTTTGTTTCAGGTTATTCTAACTAAACATAATGCAATTATAAATCTTTTTCAAAAATAATTTTCAATGTCAAACACACCTGCATAAATTTGATATCTCTGGTTTAACATGTTAGTGCCACCAACTGATTGATAAAATACCTAGTGAATTTATAAGCCCGTAGCTGCCGTCAACATGACATCAAGAGTACATGATAACACCTGGTGGTTTATAATAACACAAGGGTGTTATTATGTACTCTTGATGACATGGAATCCATTATCGCGAATCTGAAGATAGCGGGCGCAAGTTTGCTGTTCATTTACTATATTTTAGCCTATGACAGCAGGAACTTGTAGTAATTTTTATACTGAAGTAATCAGTAATATGTATGCTGACAGGTGAGCCTAAATTTCTCTTCATTTATTAATTTCTTCGATTTACTTTAATGATCGTTTTAAGACATAAATTTGCTATAAATTGATTCACCTTGTCTTTTTCCTGTAGGTGGCGCTGCAAGCTCTGGGTTTTGATGCAAAGAAACACGAAGTGCTAAACATTTTGCAGGCATTTGATAGAGAAGGAAATGGGAAAATGTACTTTCAGGATTTCAAAGATGTAGGTAAGTGAATTGGAAAGGAAGTCACATTTACTGAACATCCTCTGTCATGAGATAAGTGCAGCTATGCTTTGTGAACATTAATGTTTTTTTATACAATTTCCTCTAATGCACAAAGAGACGAAGCACATTTTTTAGTGTTTGCTAAAGACATTACGCATAACAAAAATAAAAATTAGGTGCGAAACTAAGTTTGCAACCGTGTACCAGTATTCCTATGCTTTCCAAAATCAAGTTTACAAACCTTTATGTGAATCACAGAGTAGTGTCGAAAGTGAATGCATTCACAAGTGCACACGCATGGGCAGTATGTAAGCAGGGTGTGAGATTGCATATGTTGACTGCATATGCATTTTGACTAAATGTGCTTGGTCCTGATTCTTGTGGTATCATCTTATAATACGATTTTTTTTAAACTTCCTTTTCGTGTTCTTTATATCATATGGAAACCAGGTGATCAATAGACATAAATGATATTATATAATACATAGTATTATCTATACTATTAAAGTAAGACATTTTGGCTAAAAACTCCGGAGGGGGTGAATGGCTGGACGTGAAACGTACACTACGTGTCGACAATGATTCCGTATCCTGCCTCAACTTTGGAAGAAAATGTAACCTCCGAAAATGTGATTTTGCGAGGGAAACCTTGAAAATCTGTACACAATCTATAAATAGAACGAGGGATATCTGTTGTCCATCTCCAACGTGTTAATCATGTTGTGTAACCATACCGCCCCAGTGGCCGAATGCATAAAGCATCGGACTCCAAAACCATTGATTCTGAGTTCGAATCCCACCTCGGGAAATTCTGTTTCTTTACTTTTGGACTGTTTAGTATGTACTTCTGCCACTTCACCGTTAATTTCTAAATTTAAAATTTTTTACTACATTTAAGCATTTAGTAAAAATCTGGAATAAACTATGGTACATGATAATAATAGCGCGAACTGACGGGAACACTCCACGGAAGCCTATGTAGTTTACAGATCAAATATTGTATTTTTTATATAATTTTGTTTTATTATTTATTATTTTTTTATTTTTTATTTTAATGTCTTTTATCTTTTAATTTTTTATTATTTTTTATTGTTTGGGATGGGATGGGATGGGATGGGATGGCATACGATGGCATGGGATTAGGGCCATTAGATTTTTTGGGGTATTTTCCTTTCAACCAAGCGGTCACCAACTGAGTAACGCCACTGATTTTCCCGGGTAACGCCGGGTATCCCGCTAGTATATATTATACTAAGTAGTTACCAAGCAGTCAATCCAAACTAGCTACTACAAACTAAATTATCGTAAATCTACTATGTATAGGGATACCTAGCCATATATGTAGTTCAGAGTTACAGAGATTGGTCAAGAGAAATAGCCAATGGCTCCCTCATTCCAGGTATATTTTCTCCTAAATAAATAGCTCAAACACCTGCGCTGATGCTATATTTTAAAAAACTCATCTGCAATTGGAAAAAGTTATAAGAATCGCACATCTTTGAAATGGCTACATAAAGGGCAGCATGCGTGTTTCGCTGTGACATTGCTTTCTGAGTCACAGATCTATGCGCAGACATGTCTACATACCTCCTGTTAGTGGCATGGCAGATCGTTCGATTTCATGATCATTTCATCCTTCCCTAGCAGAGTCTAGTTCCAAAGCATATATTGATCAAAATCTAGCACCACCAGTCACCGCCAGTCACTTCGATATCATAGATGATTGATCTGGATTTTTTACCGATTCCCTAAACCAGTGCTTCTTAAACTCGTGAATGTTTCACCCAAGGGTGAATGAAATTATTTTGAGCTGAACGAAACTTGCCAAAAACCTAAGGAAATTTAGTCGCGGGTGAACGAAACTTTGTGATAAACACTCGAGGGTGACTGACACTGAAAGCGCCGCTCTAAACGCTCGTCTGGGTGCCTTTCAGTAACGGAGAAGATGGCAGAGGAGGGTGCGATGGAGGAGGCGGAGAAGGCATTCCGTCTGTTTGAGGGCGGCGCGATGGGAAAGGTCGGCCTGCGTGGCCTGAGGAGTGTGTCGCAGCAACTGAATGAGGACATCAATGATGAAGACCTCCAGGCAATGATCGATGAGTTCGATAAGAATGGCGATGGAGCGAGTAAGTGTAGGGAGTATAGGTAGAAAAATGGATAGTAAGAAAGATAGGTAGTAAGAAAGATGGGTGGTGAGAGGGGGAAGAGAGAGGGAGAGAGAGAGAGAGAGAGAGAGAGAGATAGAGAGGGAGTGATAGAGAACTAATAAGAGAGCGAGCGCAAGACACAAAGTGAGAGAGAGGGGAGAGAGTGGGATGTAAAGAGTGAGAAGGAGAAATAGAGCAATAATTGTTTGTGTGTGTGTGTGCGTGTGCGTGCGCGTGTGCGTGCGCGTGTGCGTGCGCGTGTGCGTGTGTGCATGCGTGCATGTGTGCGTGCGTGAGAGAGGGGTAGGGGGAGGGAGAAAGAGAGTGTAAGCATGGTGACTTTTGGTAAAGATAGCATAATGAGCTGAACTGCATAATGATTATGCACATTATTTTTTTACCTGGAGTGAGCTTTGCCTTCGCGTATCACCGTGTAGAGCAGTGAAGAGTAGTGCTGAGAGTTCAGCCCAGTGAACCACAGTAATATAAGACCTTTAAAAACGTTTGCTATCATAATGCTTTTATATGAAATTGTTGTTGTTTTTCTCTTTCAGTTGACCTGGATGAGTTTAGATGCATCATCCTTGGTGATGACACGTGATAAGTTTGTATTCATGGACCTGTGTGTTCAGGATCGACCTGCTTCATCTGGATCATTCGATCCTGGTCTGCCCAAATAAGTGCAGACTCGCATCATTCAAGTCGACTGTCATTGTGAACTATCAGAGAATGGCTAGCAACCAGCAAAGGCTGAGTCGCATTCCACCATATCGAATCCTCTTCAATGCCAGTAGGGTCAGATCAGGTGGAGCGAGTTCAGTATATCCGACCAAACAAGCTGGTAGTTCATGGGACCTGCGTAATCCAGATCATGTGAATGCTTTGCCTAAACACACGTGTCCTTGTTGCAATGAATTCAGTTTGCTCTAAAGTTATAATGCATTATATTAACTATTATGGGATCCGTACTTGATCCTTGAAGTGTGATTGTGATATGCAATGTAAATTTATACAAAGATACAAGTTTAACCAACAGTAATATTTTAGTGATAATTCTACATTGTAAATGTGCGTTTTTGACGTATGTATGATAAAAATGGTTTGTATAAAATGTAAGTTAGTTTTAAATACCGTGAGAAATCGCACTAATGCTGAGAGTGATATTATCTGGAGTAAGATAATATAGATCTATATTATCTTACTCCTGATATTATCTGGATGCGAAATGACCCGATGAATTCTCCTCGTGCATTTCCTTGTGTTAACTGTAGTACACGTCACTAGTGTCATTTACAACGGATTAGGTCTTTAGTCATGTCACATGGCTAACAGATTGTAATGAGCTTGATCGACAGGTGTGTTGTAATATACGTGTCGTTCGGGCGTAGTGTTGACTGGGGATGTGCACTGTGTCTACAAACTTACGTTAGAATCACTGCATTAACTGACTTGCTGCTAGTACGTACACGTAACACCGCGTGTCTGAGCTATAAAGCAGAACACTAAATGTCACATTTCTCTGTTGAAAGTGATAATTTAATTTCATGCTCGCACATACATGTCGGAAAAATATATTTATTGCGTCCATGAAGTAACTTAAAGGCGTTCTGAGTGTGTGTGCGTGTTCGCGTGTTTTCGTGTGCCTGTGCATTCGTGTGCATGATTATGATGTGAACAATAGCAGCTAAGCTGAATTAACAATTTTAATTGATGAAGACGAACGATTAAATTATTTAAATATACCACTTGTTTAAAGAACAATTGCGTGTACACGTTATCTTTTCCATCGTTTCTTTTCGTTCTTTTTAATTTCCTAATGTTTGTAGCTTTTTACAATGTTTTTTTAGCTTTAGCGACGAGACTCATCTTGCGGCGATGCCCGGCAAGGTCTCAACGTCTTTTTTTCTAGATTGTGCTTATAATTTATATTCGGGATTTACATTCATATTACGCGGAGTTACACATTTAGAGCATTCCCATTTTGAAATTGTGAAGCGGCAGTGAAAGGACACAAACTATTATTACACGTGTATAATAACAACATTGAACATTAATACCAAGAATTTTAATAATGTAGTGTCAGCATATTTGTATATATGTGTGTTCGCGTGCGTGTGTGCGCGTGCGTGCGTGTGAGTGCGTGCGTAAGTGGCGTGCGTGCGTGCGTGCGTGCTTGCTTGCTTGCTTGCGCGCACACCTACATGATTATTATTATTAGAAGTAGTAGTAGTAGTAGCAGTAGCAGTAGCGGTGGCGGTGGTGGTGGTAGTAGTTGTAGCAGTAGCAGTAGCAGTAGCAGCAGCGGCGGCGGAACCCGAGACAATAAAGTACAACAGCTATAACAACAACAACAACAACAACAACAACAACAACAACAATAATAACAACGCAACATTGCATGTTGACATCTATAGCCGCGCGTGCGTGCGTGCCTGCTTGTGCATGTGCGCGCGCGCATGTGTGTGCACAATGTCCGCGTGCGTGCGTAATTGCGTACGTGCCAGGGTGCGTTCGTGCCAGCATGCGTGCGTGCCTGCGTGCGTGCCTGCATGCGCGTGTGCGTTTCGGCCCGACGATCACGCTCTCTGGTAGGTGAAGTCAGACACACGAATGAATAGTGACGTAGATGATCCGATACAGATTGTCATGCGGAGGCATTCGCGCGTACGTGATACGCGCATCAGAGGCGGAGATATTCTATAGCAGCGGTCCACAGCCTCGCTGTGTGGCCACGTGGAACTAGTGGAAGTATTTCTGTTATACAATATAAATGTAGGGACCTTTTACACGGTTCATACAATCTACGGATCGGTTGTTTCATGGTTACACAACTCAATATTCACAGATTCAAGCCGGTACGGGAGATCATTTGCATAATATATTCTAGATACCTATAGAGTACCCAGGAAAAAATGTATCATTAACTTTAATAGTAGAATTATTAACTTAATAATCAGATCATTAAAG